TTAACCAAGCTTCCCAATCCTTTTCTTTTCTCTTAGGATTCGCTTATTCTCTAGCCACCTCTTGACTAGATTCTAGCCTTTTCCAAAACAAACGGCCCCTATATGATGACCCCGGGACGGGGATGTTACACATCATGTGGGGGTTATGGGAGTTAAGGGTAGTTAGGTTTAGTTAGGTTGTGAGATAGAGTAGACCGTCTTACTGAGTATTCAATACTCAGCCCCTTACCAGACTTGTAGGATAGGAGATACGATCAGGTGGCTCATAGGACGACAAGGCAGGAGGAAGCAGCATGCACTGTGAAGACTTTCCCAATGTGTGGTATTATAGAAATCCATATATTGTATTTCACCAAACAATGTATTAAAGAAATTTTAGATTAGTGAAATACATAGATTTGACTAACACTTGGGCAAGGATTCATAGTCATTGGTTTGAGTATTACAAGGACACAGTGGTTTAGCGGTAGACATTATAGAGGGATAGTGTACATAATCCCGTGCACCAGCCCGTCCGTGGTCATTGTAGAGGGATAGTCTATATAGTACTGTACACCAGCGCGTTTTGTCTTTTTTTCTCAAGCCATTTTCTATTTTTTCTATTATACAAACAGTGTAAAATGTTTGTGCTCCATATTTGCTACAGTAAAATTGCTAGATTACATATACATTTTTTGAACGTGTGTGTATTACACTAACTTTCTCTTGTTTAGGAGGAACGAAATTTTCCAAAACACCTTTAACATGTTTTTGTATTCTTTGTTATTTATTCCATTCATCCTTAATTAGATAGTATACAGTTTTTTATTACTTTTACAACTGTAAAAGCTATACAGCATAGATGAAAACATATGCACTTGTAGCCTAATGGGAAAATATTATCGCAAATCTGCTGATAAAGTGATGGAAGCATATTTCAAAAGGTGAAGAAGAAATTAAGGACCCAAGAAAAATAATGAACTTAGTGAATCATAATGTCATGTCGATTATGCCATCATAATATGTAGAGTGGAAGAGAATGCTAGAAGCAGGATCAAGAGTTTTACTGCACCTTTTTTGCAGCAAAGTTTAAGTACCTCAAAAGGGTAAAAGCAGAAAGCAAAAACATACATTTAAGATAACACACTATCTTTGAGGGCTTAACTGGATCGGGTTTTATTTTTGATCCATTAATATATGCGTATGGAGTCAAGAGTTTGAGATATCTAAAATTAGGAATAGATTAAGACATCCATCACACAGATTAGTGAACACACCAAATATTTTTTTATGTAAGGCTGCTAGTTAAAGTACTGACAACATGAAACAAAAAAAAAAGTACTTATACCAATTTTGCTTTTTTTTTTCTCAACCTTACATTCTTAATCAAAGAGTGAATTTCGTTGAAAGCAGAGCCTATGTTTGTTTTTTTTAATAATAGGCTAATAATGTCCATAACAGTTACTAATCAAAGTAACATAAAGGAATATTTACATGTGAACTTGTGTACTGTTAAAGCTGTTTATGGACCGGGTCTTTTACCGGTCTTCAAATTCGTGAAATTGTTTGAACACTTAAACCAGTGACGAAAGTGAAAAACTACGTTCACTTTTTCTAAATGGAGAATGTTTAGACATTTATTAACAGTAAACAAGAGAAATAAATCATACTCTCTCCGTTTCAAAATATAAGTTGTTTTGGAAGTTTTTTTATGTTTCAAAATATAAGTTATTTTTATAATCCTAGTTACTTTTTAATTTTATTGACTATTGTGTGACCAATAGTATGTTGCAGTCGTTTTTTCATTGGTTAAATTATCTTTATTATATACTGGAAAAAACTGTCTATTTCCCCATCAAAACTATGACATATGCTTATATGGAACCCAAATCTTACCATCTTTACAGACCTCCATAGAACAATAGTTTTAAGTTTTTATCTCCCCCATTTCAAAGTTTTAATCATATATACCCACAGATATCGATTTCAATCGGTTTGAATGGTTTACGATCTAAACCGACACAAAACCATCAAACTAAACCGAACCAAAAAGGGTT